CCCCCCCCCCCCCGTGTAGTTACTTTTGCTTGATCTGACGGTTGAAAAGCGGATGGAATGGACGGTTGATAGGGCGGTTACTGATGGTTACTGATATATTGGTTACTGAGGGGATCCGGACCCGGTGTTGTCGAAGATGATGAACGACTGTTGGTTTGGTGAATGTGGAATAGGAAAGATGTCGGTGGGGATTCCTCGATCCCAAAGGAATAAAAACCATTGCTGCATTTATTCTGTTTTGGTTAGATGATAGAATCGTATGTTTGTGCAAAATATTTATAAGGTACTATTGTCAATTGACAATAGTACAGGGGTATAAAATGCTATTAACCTTATTGATTAGGAGTTAAACCATTTATATCGGGTTGGGCGGCTAGGTCATATAGTCGAATATTATTAAATTTTTATTAGCTTTTTCAGTTAATTTCCTATAAATATGTATGTGAATTTTCTTGTTAGAATTAAGCAAAGAAATATTAAGAAAAATATCTCTCCTAATCCTATCCTCCTAAACCCTTTAAATTAAGACTCTTCTCTCCCTAAAAGCCTCGGCCTGTTCTTCCCTAATTATGTCGATTTTTTCTTCTAAATCGCTAATTCCTAGTTATGTTCATTCATAATTCCCTTATCAATCAGTAATTCTATTTCATGATATGATAGTAGTTTACAAATTAAACATTAGTTTGTGCGATATGAATATTAGTCTGAGAGATATTAATACTAGCTAGTTCACTTTGTGTTACGTGCAGATCTTCTTCCCAACATTTGTAGATATAACTCCTTCAAAAAAAAAAAAAACATTTGTAGATATAACCTAGCGTACAACAGCTGACGTGGCAAGCATACATGAAATGGAAAATTACCTTTTAGCACCTGCCGTTAGCTCTAGGGACAAAAATGGTGATGCTGCAATTTTTATTAGACGTAACTGGTTTGCTTACAACAAAACTTATATAGTTGCAGTTAAATGGTAAACTTAAGTGACAACAGTTGCAGTTACCCTGTGAGGGTTATGCATAGTTACTTATGGACAAGTTATTTATGGACTTCGTTCCCCTATTTTTATATGCATATAGATAGTGATAAGAGAGCTCATCACCCAAGTGAATGCCATTTTAGTATCCACGACAGGTGCTGTTATGGAGGAGATTATTCATTATTTTAGTGCTCAGCCTGGCTTTAGTGTGCGTTTTGTAGGTCGGGAGAACAATAGGATAGCTCACTTGGTAGCTAGGAAAGCCCTCTCTCTGTATCCGACTATGAGTCGCTTCTTTGATTTCCAGACCTGGCTGGCTTCTAGGGTGTAACTATCTTCTGTTTCGATCAATATATGATATCTTTTGACAAAAAAAAAATCACCAAATCTTTAAGCTTACTAACCCGAGAGATTATTGTGGATTATTGTCCCCCAGTCTAAATTAATACCGGAATGGAGGGGTCATAAGTGGCGTGCTTTCAACTTCAAGGGTGTAGATCAAGATCCGATAATAATAATATATGGAATCCCTTTTGATTATACAAATTAATAAAGCTACTCCACAAGTAGCACGAGTTGGGTTAATAGATATATATGAAATGGATCTAATCGATGGAGTTTTTGTTGAACATTAACATAACCTCAACTACAGTTCAGCTTCAAGTAGGGATGGGCATTCGGTCGGTTCGGTTTCAATCGAACCAAAATTATGCATATCGAGTCCCCGAATTCTCCCAAACCTCAAACCGAATTCGAAGCGAATTATAATTCGGTTCGGTCGGTTTAAACCGAATTATAATTTGGTTCGGTTCGGTTTTTCACCCAAAACCTAATTTGTGAAGCTACTTGTATTTTCTCACTTTTAAATTATTTTTCACCCTAATATAAACAATAAATATCAATTATATGCATCATCAATGATAAAATCAAACTTTTCAACACATAAGTCATAAAACATTTCGAATATTTAAGTCTAAAAACAACTACAAACATAAAAATCCACCATTTGGAGCTTGCAATTATAGTATTTCGGTTTTTCGATCGGAAATTCGGAAATTTGGTTCGATTGAAAGAACCCTGGTTTTCGAACTATCCATATTTTCCTTCCGAATTCCGAACCGAATAGCATTAATTCGGTTTCGGTTCGGTTTAATTTGGTTTCGGTTCGAGTTTACCGAACCGTTTGCCCACCCCTAGCTACAAGGTCGGTTGGCCCCCTTAAGAAAAATTGTACGTTTTTTGTTGTTGTTATACAATTAAAAGTTGCAAAAAGGATTAGATCGGAGGGGCGCACACCGGTTAGTTTGTTGCTATAAATAATATACAACTCATTCTAAGGGTTCCAAAAATCACACCGCTAATTATCTATCTTTGGCGACAGACAGAGATCAAAGAAAAGAGAGAGAAAATGTCCCGTCTCGTGTTGGACTCCAACAACCTGTGGACCAACAACACGGTCCAGGTATTCGAGGGCCCGTACCCTTTGGACCTCAACACCCACGACGTGGCCAACAACGTCGTGAAATGGAAGTCCGCGGGTCAAAAGTGGGGATGGCTAACTGTCTTTTTACTTGTGTTGTTAAACGGTCGGTTGAACCACTGGATTGAAACCAAACATGAAACCGTTCAAAACCATAAAAAAATGACAGAAAAAATAAAACGGTCAAACTCAACAAAAATAATGGTCTTACCAAAGCGACTGGTTTCAACCTCTTAATCATAATGCTGTTTTTTGGTCCTCTCCCAAATTCTATTTGGGAAAACGAAGCAAATATGCGCAACTTTTTCAATTCATATAATATATAAACTTTTAAATTATTGTAGGTACCTATCAAATTAAATTTAGATTATTAAAATATTAAATTATTACCATACGCATAATATATATTTCTATATAAATGGTTTAAATCGATCAAACATGCACTGATCCGACCAATGAAATTCAAATTGTTTACTTCACTTGTTTAATGATTTAAACTGGTTTAACAAACTTGCTTTTCAACCATAAAATGAAATAGCTATCCAATAGTTAGAATTAAACAAAAGTCGATCTGATAAAATACTATGCCTACTAACACCAACCCTAGTTTATATTTCACTCTCTCTCTCTCTCTCTCTCTCTCTCTCTCTCTCTCTCTCTCTCTCTCTCTCTCTCTCTCTCTCTCTCTGAAACTGCGACTGAGGACTGATATATATCTCATATCTGCACTCTCTACGGGCACCCCCTGCCTTTCTAGACGTGTCTTGGTTGCTCGATCTGAGTTTAAACTTTTCTCTCAACACGTATGGTAATGGTGAAGAACAACTTACCATCCAAAGAAGACTACAATATTGGTTAGTCACCAATCCTTCATCCAACGTATGTACTTAAGTGCGAGGGTCAGTTGATAATGTCAACCCAACATTTGGATCCCATAATGCATGGTGCACCTAAACTCAAGTCGTAATAAAATAAAATAATCTTCTACCCTAAATGGCAAAAATTCGTCCATGTTTCGCTGCTGGTAGTCATTATGTAAGGGTACGTTTGGATAGCTGGATTTGTATTTGGATTTTGGATTTGAATTTTAAAATCCCAAATTTTAGTGTTTGGCAGCACAGCAGGTTTTGTATTTGGATTTGGGCCAAATTTAGGGTGAATTTCGGCCTATGTAAAAATAATAATTTCAAATACAGCCTGTACAGTACCGATTTGGAAATCCAAAGTGAAGGCAAAGCCACAATCATTGTCTTCATCGCTGCTTTCTTCCTTCCAAAACTCCATCTCCATAACCTAACTCGATCCATCCTGGCATCCATGGAAAATGATTAACTTCCATCTCTTATCCCTCGGTACTGCCCACTTCCCTCCATCGACAACCCTCGCCTGCCCTCCATCGAAAACCAACGCGAAGGTCACAACCATCATCTTGTTCGCCGCGTCTTGCCTTCCACATTGAAATTCTATCTCCTTAACCTAACTCGACTCGGCCTCCATGGACAACCATTAATCTCCTCCTAATCCAACGTTGCCGCCCACCACCCTCCATCCACCACCATCAACTCGTCTGCTCTCCACCGACAACCATTTGCTCGTTTCCCCTCTTCGTGTTCTTCGAATCTTGGAGGTAAGCCATACTTTGGAGTTGTTTGCTACTCGTTTGATACAGCTTCTGAATACAGATCTTTCATTACCCAAACCCTTATGTGCAGATCTGACAATCAACTTTTTATCTTACCCATCGAGTCACTGCCCTCCATCAACGACCACTAGCTTGCCTGATTGTTTCAATTTGTTTGCTACTCCAGATAAAAGATTGTTGAATGTTTCGATTTTCTTAGTAATCTAGGTTGAATTTGGTTTTGCTTTTGCAAACAAAGTTTCCATCGTCCCAGCCCATTCGTGCTCTCACCTTGGGCTTCAATTTGCGAGCTGAAAGTTTGTTGTTCTGTTATAGCCTATTTTGCTGCTTGTTCATACTACTATTTGTTATAACTTTGACAGGTTTATGTGTTTTGTTTGTTTGGGTAGTGAATTTGTGTTATTGGGTTCCTTGTTGTGGTGAAATTTGATGGTTTACTCAGTTTGTAACCTTAATCAAGTGCAGTAAATTTTGCAGCAGACAGTGCTGCAAATTATGCAGCAGACAGTTGATTTTGTATGGCATTTGTTGTCTCTATTTTTATATTGCTGGTGTATGCTTGCTTGTACTTATGTATTCTTTCCTTATTCTAGCAATAGATACTAGTGGTGTGTTACTTATAGCCGCTTATTGGTCAAGTTTTAGGAACACTGATGTTAGTAACATGTGACCCTTACAATGGTCAACTCAATGTTATATGAAGTTTGTTGAACACTGATAAGGTATAAAGTGATTGAAACTCTTGTTGTTTGTTGTCAGTATTGGATTTCATAGTTAGGGTATTTATTGCATTGATCTATTTGGAGAGTTTGATCGAGTGTAGTAGTTGTTTATGTTTCAGGGTTCATTTGTTTGAGTGGCCTGCTGAAGTGATCGGCCTGTTTGTTCTTATTGTTGTAGGAATGAAGCGACAAGGAAATATTTTACCTGGTAAATCTAGTGTTTATTGCCAATGGGATTCACAGATGGACAAGATTTTAAGTCGGGTCTTACTAGATCAAATAGTTCAAGGAAATAAGGGTGATGGAGACTGGAAGCCGCAAGCATACCAAGTAGTTGTGGATAAACTTCGCACTAACTTGGCAATCAAAGTGACTAGAGATAATTTTAAGAACCGACTTCGAGCATGGAAGAAAGGCTATGCAGTGATAACTGATGTTCTAAAGCGAAGTGGATTGAACTTGTGGGATGAAGATAAGAAGATGGTCGTAGTTACAGCTAGTAATACAAGTGATTGGCTATCTTATTGCAATGTAAGGTTCTTTTCCTCTTATGCTCTATTGTGATTTGTGACATGACTTTCATGTATAGTGATGGGAGTTGGACACAAATTTCATATGTGTTTATAAGAAGATCGTATTAAAGGACGAACTAAACTAGTACTAGTTAAAAATACTATCTTTGTGGGGGTGGTAATAAAGGGTACCATTTGCAGGGAAATTTAACGGGTTGTGTGGGGTTAACACTAATGTGTTTGAGGTTGCTTTTGTTTTGTAGGATCACCCTGATGCACGTTCTTATGCAAACACATATATCGAGAATTGGGATGATTTAGGCTTGTTGTGTGCAAAAGATAGAGTTGTGGGAGATGGGCAAACCATCATTCAGAGGCTAATGCATCCATGGGTGATCAAGATGACATGGAGGACGTCGGATCAGCGTCTACTTTTTCCAATTCGAGTGCACATGGCTCAAAATCTCAAAGGAAGAAGCCTATTGGTGAAGTCAGTTCAGAATCGCGAAAGAGAGTTAAGAAGGACAGTCAAGTTGGGGATGCATTGTATATGGTAGCTAACTCATTAAGTAGCTACTTTCAAAGTAAGAAGAAGGAAGAAGAACCAAAGTATACAGGGAAAAAGATCTACGATGTGATATGCGAGATACCGGGGTTGACACATATGGAGGTTGCCAAAGCTCTGACCTTCTCAGCAGTAGCTCTAGTAGTTTTTTTTTGTTTCATTGGCCATGTTTAATATGGAATTTTTCATTCTGCAGTAGTCATTGGGGCCATTTTCCTCTGGTTCTCTCGTATGTGTAGCGTGACCAAAAGTGAATAGCTTTGGCAATGAAAAGCAAATTAAGGGTATCAATGTACATATTAGTGCTAATAAAAAGAAAATTAAAAAAATAATTAATTGAAATACCAAAAAGTTGCAACTATATATCCAAACAGTAGAATTTACATCTTTTATATTTGAAATCATGTATTTGAAATACACATTTATCCAAACAATGAATTTTATATCCTTAGTATTCCGAATGCATACATTTCAAATACTTGCATTTCAAATTCTGCTATCCAAACGCGCCTAGGGAAAATCTATCTATTAGCTGGCGACTTTTAGCTATCAATGAAGAGTCATCATGTTAGTGCAATCATCATCGTCCTACATTAAACAAAGCAGAAAATGAAATTGCAAACTTCACGTGTTCAGCTTATGAGGAATATGGATTTGATGAGGCATTCTATTGCATGGTTATGGTCGTAATTATGGAGAGGGGGATAAGGAAGTCCTCTTTATAGGTGTACAGTGATGACTAATTATAAAGAGGCGGGACAGGTATGCAATATTTTCTTAATAACCCACAAACATCACCACACACCGTTTGAACGATGACAGAGCGAGACTAAATTTGGGGATTCACTTGCTTGAGTTTTTTGGCCCTCAAACTCCACTAAAATTCCAATTAGCGCCCCCGAAACACCACGAAAGGGCCTCAAGGGGTTGAATTCAGGACTTCACACGTCCAACACGTGCACTCAGCGAGAATTCACCAATTAGGTTGTGTGACCTTTGGCGTATATGCATGATTAATACTACAATATCCCTAATATATAACAGGGGAAAACCCTCCCTCCCTCCCTGTGTGTAAAGTGTAACCATAAAATTTCTAACTAAAAGGTGCAATCATAAAAAAGAAGGAAATCTTAAAAAGGGCAATGATCTAATTATATGTCATAATAACCATTCACGTGCACGAGATTCCGCTCAGCCCTAAAAGAATTAATCAATTCGCTGACGAGCTGATTAGGGGTGGCTATATGGTCCGCTCCAGTTAAATTGGCCAAATTGATTCGGTCTAGTCCGGTCTTTTTGCAAATATAAGGACCAAAGATTGGATTGGATACAGTCCGGTCTTGATCCGTTCCAGTCTTGACCCGGTCCGGTCCCAATTCATTCTTGAATTTATATTGAGCTTGTGGGTATTTGAGTGGCCTAAGGCCTGAAAGGGTGAGGAGTTGGTTAAGTTTTGTACTAAGTGCAAAGCTTTGTGACCGTTTATACAAATTATCCTAGTTTTGGGTGATGAGCTCTCTTATCCGGTCTTTTTCTAGTTTTCGATCCGATCTCGAACGGTTTTTTACTTCAAATCTAAACCCAAAGATTGGATTGTATTGTTTACTATCCGGTTCCGTTCCGGTCTCGGTCTGGGTTATACGGTCTGATTTTGGGTAAAACCAAAAAACCCCATACCAAATAGCCAGCCCTAGAGCTGATCACACGAGTCACGGGTGTTTATACGGTTTTTAGCTGGTACGGGTGTATATACTTTGTCGTACACATAAAATAGGGTAAAGATATAGAGTAAGAGAACTGTGTTATATAAAATTTTATAGGATAAATACAATATAATAGTGAAAATTTTCATTTCAAACAAAATAATATTCAATTCTTTTTAAAAAAAAATATAATAGCCAAATCGTCAACTTTTTATTCGGTCAAACGTCCTCTGACACAAATTATACTGACTTAAATAATGCAACAATATAATATCCAAGTCTTGGTCGGCCGACCGGAGACCATTAGTGGGAGTCGCAGCGGCTGCAAGTGGACGGAGATTGAGACGACCGTAAGGGAGTTGAGGGAGCCAGGGCCTGGTCGCCTTCATCAGTCGATGGGTGACCGTCGCCCTGACCCCGAAGGCGATTTGGATTAATTGGCAATTGTCATCGGAATCAACCACCAGTCTCCTCAAAACCCTCCTTGACGCGGCGCGGCTAGAGGACCAGATCAAGGACGCAACCCAGTTGGAGAAGGAGTTGGCGTCGCATACGTAAACCAGCTTGCATGGCTGGCCATTTTGGATTTTCGGTTTATTTCTTTTTATTAAATTATTTTTTCTTTTCCTAATCCCTTTTGGGAAGGGCTAGTCGGCTGTAGTATTTAAAGGGCATGTATATGTAAGACTTGGACATCTTTTGGCTTTAATCAAACTACTAAACCTTAGGGTTTGTTTCCGGTGGATTCTGGAGTTCTCAACGTGAGCTTGTGGCTTGCAAGCTCTTCCTTTTCCGGCAGATTTAGCGTTTGCGAATCCTTGGTGTTTCCGAGTGCGTCAGGTGGTATCAGAGCAGGCTCTTCCATGTTTCTTTTTGAGCTTGGACAACATGGGAGACCAACCAGTAACACGAGAAGATATCAAAGGCATCACGACGGCTTTCACCGCGGCTCTTGCTACAGGTGAGTACGTTGGCGACTCAAGTGAACGCCATCAACGAAGGGAGGAATAGAGACAGGAAAAATCATCAGCAAAGTTGACCACGCGGCGGTATACGTGGTCAGGCTGACTCCGACACGAGTTCGGAGGAAAAGGTCCAGGATGACGAGGAAGATGAGGAACATTAGCGAGACCGCAATGATTATCGAGTCAAGGTAGATATTTCGTTGTTCTATGTAACGATGGGGGTCGAGGAATTTCTGGATTGGCAAATTGAAGTCGATAGGTTTTTCGACGTGATGGAAGTACCCGAGGGAAAGCAAGTTAAGCTGGTAGCCATTCGGCTGAAGAGCACGGCTGCAGTATGGTAGGATAAGCTGGTTGCCCAAAGGAAACGACAGAGGAAGGCACCGATTCGAACCCGGAGGCGGATGAAGCAACTAATGCTTGAGCGATTTCTCCCTGAGGATTATGAGCAAATTCTCTACAAAATGTATATTGATTGTGTTCAGCGGAGGAGGAGTGTCACCAAATACACCAGTGAGTTCTTGCGCTTTTCCGAACGCAATGAACTAAGGGAAACAGAAGCTCAGAAGGTAGCCCGCTACATCAACGGTTTGAAGAGCTCCATCCAGGAGAAAATCGGGTTACAAACTGTCTGGACGGTGACGGAGGCTTCCATGCTAGCATTAGAAGCGAAACTAATGGAGAAGTCCCCCAGGAAGTTCCCACCCTTCTGCAGATTTCCTTCACCAGGACAGCCCGAAGTAATGATGGAGAAGGAAAAGGGTAGTAACCCAAAGGAGAGCAACCCGCCTCCACCAAAAGGGCCTAACGGGGCTGGTACCTTCAACCCTAACAGGGTTCCGACCAGAGAGCTACTAACCTTTACGCCAAACCAACGAGAGATAAATGCTACCGTTGTGGGGGCCAGGGACACCGTTAGAATGTGTGGCCATCGCTGAAAATGGTCGCTTTCATAGATGAAACCTCCAACCCCGTTGAGAATTCCGAAGAAGAAGGGGAGACTGATGAGTATGCCGGAGATGAATTCGGGGAGGAGGAGTCCAAAGATGTAGTGAAAATCGTCATGCGGCAAGTTCTACTTTCTGCGACCGACGAGGGGCAGCGGAAAAATCTTTTCCGCACAAATTGCTCTATTAATAATAAGGTATGCAATCTCATCGTGGACAACGGCAGCACAGAAAATTTGGTCTCTCAACGGCTGGTCGCATATTTAGAGTTGCCTACCGAACCTCATCCTCAACCATATGCGTTGGGTTGGGTGAGAAAAGGCCCCCAGGTCAAGGTCACGCAAACTTGCAAAGTCCCGATTTCAATTGGAAAGCATTATCGAGAAGTGGTGGCGTGTGACGTGCTGAACATGGACGTGTGCCATGTGCTTTTGGGTCGACCGTGGCAGTTCAACAATGATGTTACCTATAGAGGAAAGGAAAATGTGATATTGTTCACCTGGAAGACGCACAAGATAGTTATGGCTCCAATCACTGATCCAACGAAGCACCTTGAGAAGAGGAAGTCTAACTTCCTTACGTTGGCCCGGGATGAACAAGAACTGCAGGAAGCGCTTCAGGATTCCCAGTGGGTGTGTCCAATCGTTGCCAAGGGATTGCAGAGCTAGTCCCCATCCACCGAGCAGGCCATTCCCGCGGTGGTACAAGAGATACTAGTAGACTTTGGGGAGCTAATTTCAGACGAGTTGCATAGCACGTTACCACCTATGCAAGATATCCAACATCACATTGACTTGATCCCAGGATCCAGTATGCCGAACCTGTCGCATTACCGCATGAGCCCTAAAGAGAATGAGATTCTCCGCGAGCAGATCGAGGACTTAATGAAGAAAGGCTTCATTCGGGAAAGTATGAGTCCATGTGCCGTCCTTGTCCTATTAGTCCCTAAGAAGGGAAACCAGTGGCGCATGTGCGTCGATAGCTGGGCCATTAACAAGATTACTATCAAGTACAGGTTTCCCATTCCCCGTTTGGAGGATATGCTAGACGAGTTATCCGGGTCAAAGGTTTTATCGAAGATTGATTTGAGGAGTGGGTACCACCAAATCCGGATTCGGCCAGGGGATGAATGGAAGACCGCGTTCAAGAGTAAGGACGGTCTCTACGAATGGCTCGTCATGCCTTTCCGATTGACCAACGCTCCTAGCACTTTCATGCGGCTCACTTAGAGCAGCTGCGTCAAGTACTCCAAGTGCTCCACGAGAACAAAATCTATATCAACCTCAAGAAATGTACTTTCTACACCGATCATCTTCTGCTTTGGGGGTTAATTTTTGGTGAGACGGGGTTCAAATGGACGAGGAGAAAGTCCATGCTATTCGAAGCTGGCCGACCCCTACGACCGTATCGGAAGTACAAAGTTTCCACGGACTGGCTACTTTCTACCGACGTTTTGTCCGCGACTTTAGCACCATCGCCGCCCCCATGACCGAGTGTTTGAAGAAAGGGAAATTTTTATGGGGCCCCGAGCAAGAGAAAAGCTTCACTTTAATCAAAGAGAAGCTTTGCACCGACCACCTAGCCTTTAAGTTTCTGCATAGTCAGAAAGTGATAAATAAAATGCATGCACGCTGGGTCAGCTATCTATAGAAGTTCCTCATCACAATCCAGCACAAGTCCGGGATTCAGAACAAGGTTGCCGATGCACTGAGCCGCCGAGCTTCCTTGATGGTTACTTTAGCGCAAGAGATTATTGGGTTCGATATTCTCAAGGAACAATACGCAACTGACCCTGATTTTGAGGAACTATGGTTTAAATGCACTCATCAGCACCCCAGCGCTGACTTCCATATGCGCCATGGCTACTTATTTAAAGGGGATCCCCTCTGTATCCCGAATTCCTCTTGCGTGAACAACTCATCCGCGAGCTGCATGGTGGGGGCCTTGGCGGTCATTTAGGATACAGAGGGGCGTGGATTTTGTCTTTGTTGCCTCATCTGCGGCAATTGCTAGCCTCGAGGCGCGTCTTTTTTGCCTCATCTGCGGCGCGAAGCGGGTGCTATATTCCGGAGGTGTTTTATTTGTCAAACATCAAAAGGCCAGTCCTAGAATACAGGGCTTTATCTGCCCTTGACGATTCCTGATGATATTTGGCTCGATATTTCGATGGACTTTGTTCTGGGTTTACCTCGCACTCAGAGGGACGTGGATTCTGTCTTTGTCGTCGTTGATCGTTTCTAAAAAATGTCCCACTTTATTGCGTGCATGAAAACGACGGATGCTTCCAACGTCGCCAAGCTGTTATACAAGGAAGTCGTTTGTCTGCATGGGGTTCCTGCCTCGATCACTTCCGATCGCAATACCAAGTTCCTCAGCCACTTTTGGCTTACTCTGTGGCGATTGTACCGGACTGCGTTGAATCGATGCTCGACAGCTCATTTGCAGACTGACGGACAGACGGAGGTTACCAATCGGACCCTAGGTAACATGATTCGCAGCCTTTGTGTTGATAAGCCGCGGCAATGGGATTAATTCCTTTCCCAGGCTGAGTTTGCCGATAACAGTGCGGTCCATTCAACTACGGGCAGGAATCCTTTTTCTATTGTTTACACTTCCCCGCCTCGCCATGTTGTGGATTTTATTCCCCTTCCCCCGGCTTCAGGCGTGAGCAAAGCAGCAGTGGACATGGTCCATGACTTCCAGGCTGTTAAGCAGGGTGTTCACGCCAGGTTGGAGGCCGCTGGTCAGAAGAATAAGGCTGCCGATGATGCTAACCTACGTTCTAAGGTTTTTGTTGCAGGTGACGACGTCATGGTGTTTTTACGCAAGGAACAATTCCCAGTTGGCACGTATGCTAAGCTCCAGCCTCACAAGTATGGTCCCTTCAAGGTGTTACGGAAGATTAATGATAATGCTTATGTCATCGATTTGCCGGCTGATATGAACATATCCAACACCTTCAATGTGGCTGATCTCTACGAGTTCCATGAGGATGCTGCGTTATATCCCCTTACGAACTCGGGGTCGAGTTCTTTACAGGCGGAGGAGACTGACGCGACGCGGCTAGAGGACCAGATCAAGGACGCAACCCAGTTGGAGAAGGAGTTGGCGTCGCATACGTAAACCAGCTTGCATGGCTGGCCATTTTGGATTTTCGGTTTATTAAATTATGTTTTCTTTTCCTAATCCTTTTTGGAAAGGGCTAGTCGGCTGTAGTATTTAAAGGGCATGTAAACGTAAGACGTGGACATCTTTTGGCTTTAATCAAACTACTAAACCTTAGGGTTTGTTTCTGGTGGATTCTGGAGTTCTCAACGTGAGCTTTTGGCTTGCAAGCTCTTTCTTTTCCGGCGGATTTAGCGTTTGCGATTCTTGGTGTTTCCGACTGCGTCACTCCTCCAACATGATCAAGGATAGCGTCGTCTTCCCTGGCCTCGAGTTCAGGAATCATGTCGCGGACCTGCTTACTGTTGATGTATATTGGTTGCATTGTAAACCCTGTAGATGTGTAGATGGGCTAGGGTTGGCCGAATTCTTTCTCCCTCTCTCTCCTTTGATGTAAGCTATATATATAGCTATTCTTCTTCTCCATAACCTCACTGAAAACCTAATAAGATCTTATAGCTCGGAGAATGCCTACTTTCTCGTGGATTAGTCCAGAATATTGGGGAAACCACGTAGATTGGTGTGTGTCAATTTCGTTTATCGCTATGCCAAATTTGTTATACGTACCTTGATTCGTTAACATGGTACTTGTCGTCTACTGATTGTGATCGCCTTGCTGTTCGTCTCAATTCGAAGAACTATGCTCTCTGGGAGTTCCAGTTTCGTGTGTTGGTTGAAGGGAAAGTTGGCTTGGTGTCCTGGACGGCTCGTCTCCTCTTCCTAATGCGTCCGCTGCTGATGACGCCAAAGCCAAGTGGAATATGGCCAATGCGAAGGTCAACACCTGGATTCTAGGGTCAGTGGATCAGACCATCATTCCCGGGCTTCGCCTCTTCTCCGATGCTACTATTTATGTGGATGTACTTAGCCTCTACTTATTCTGCCAACAACATCGCTCGTCAATTCGAGGTTCAGTTAGAGATGGCTCGGCTTGAACAGGAAGCCGAGATGTTGAAGCCTACTATAACGGTGCTCAGGAACTCTACACCGAGCAGGACTTGCTCACGGCGGCACTGCGTTTCAATGACTTCAGTCGAGCTCATGGAAGAGAGGAAACATGCTCGTATTCTTCAGTTTCTTGGCCGTGAACGTCCATAATATGAATATAGCTGCTTGTTCCTCTCTCGTCAACTGCGATGAGCTCACATGGAAAACGTCCTTGGTAAGCTTATTCGGGAAGAAACGCGGCTGTGGACTCAGTCACAATTATAACGATTCGTCCTGGTGACTGGTGAGGAAGAGGCCGTCTTCTCCATGTCCCAATCAGCTTTTGATGCTGCTTTTGCTGTTGGTAAGCCCCAGTTTCAATGTTGTCCTGTGTCAAAAATTCAATGCCACCACTGCCATGTTATGGGTCATCATCAGAAGCATTGTAAGCAGCGAGATATATGCAACTATTGTAAGAAATATAGGCATATAATCCTGGACAGCCCCATTCTTCAAAGTTGTCGTCGCACTGCTCCTCCACAGGCTCGTCCCAACGCTGGAATCTTGCCTACTCCGACGTTTTCACACAACCGGCTGCCTCTCCAAGCGCGTCCTCAAACCCGGTGAATGTTGATGCTTTTGAGAAGTATGTCCACGCTGCTATCCGGCGGAGCATTCTGACCGCCATAAGCTCCACGTTCACCACCATGCAGGTATAATCCTATGACCAGCAATAAAGCTAAACTTGATAATGTTTCGAAGACAGTGGGGCTGAGTTTCCAGGTGGCGAATGGTCAAAAGCTTCATGTGGGAGGGGTTGGTTGCATTAATTAACGTGATTTAATGTTACCTAATGACTCGCACAAAATACCACACTAGAAATTCCCTATAGAGCCAAGCATTTAAACTCTAGAGGGGTACAACATAGGACAAGAAGTTTTAATTATCAATCAGAGCCGATCCATGTACCCTACTTCAACCGCTTAGGTTGTTATCTAGCAAGCAACTTTTGGGGTTAGAACTAATGAAACTACAAACTAAACAAGCAAAGAAAAGTAAAAAAAAAAATCTAACTAAGGGAGCTTCACCCAGGAGTTGCTTCCCCCAAACTAGCTACCATGACTCGTTGGATTGAAAGGAATCGTGTGGTGTAGGTGGTTGTGAACTGCGAGGGTGAGCAACTAGTGATCGATTTGTCACAGAATCAATTCACTAGCAATCGATTTATCACGGGATCAATCCACTCACGACGTCTAGGGGAACTGCTACGAGGAGCAACTAGTGATCCATTTGTCACGGGATGGATTCACTAGAGATCGATATGTCACGGAATTGATCCTCTCACTTAGTCTCTAGGGGTTGCCTAGGTCTCTCCGTCAAACCGGAGTTTGAGCGGCTTAATCACAACCAACCTAGATGCAAACTTGACTCAAGGGGGATGCTCATCTCTAACCTAGATAGTAGGCACAAAGTGCCCAGGAAAACCAAGCTTGTCAAGCCTACCTAAAAAGGTGTGGTTTTCCTCTATTCTAGGTTAGGCAAGCACAGAAGATTTGGAATGAAAACACCTCTAATACTCAAATTGATGCAAACCCATACAAAATCATTCAATCTAAACAAGTAATTACAAATTATTAGTTAGGGATCTACAACACCCAAGAGAAAAGAGTGAGTTTCTAGAGAGAGAGAGAGAGGAGAGATTACAAGGAAACCTCTAGATCTTCTTCTTCTATGCTTGATTACTTGCTCCCAAACTTGAACGATGCCTTCAATTAAGCTCCAAGATGCTTCTCTCACTCTCTAGAATTCCCCTATGGTGTTTTGGGTCGAAACCCTAGAGAAAGAAACCAATTATTCTCCAAAAACCAGCTCTCCTTCTCTCTCCCCGCTGGTGTCTTCATATTTGCCCGGAAGTGACCAGTTTATGGATGCATTGGCCAGTTCACGGCCATGAACACCTAAACGCGTTCGTGAACTCAGTGTCGTCTCCAAAATGCACCGCTTCGCTTCTGTCATTGGCCACAGTTCACGGTCTTAGCGACCAGGAACTCCCTTGGCGTCAGCAACCTCTGAAACCTCGTTGGACTGCTCGATGTTCATGGTTTGTGGCCACAGTTCACGATCATTGTTTGACCGTGAATTGCGGCTGCTTCCTAGACGCCTGCACTTCACTGTTATGGAGAACTTTAGACTTTTCTTCGATTTTTGCGCTTTTTGACCACCAATTATCCTAAAATCCGACCTCGGGCCTTACGCACGTGCTAGGACCTGAAATGTATCAAAACAAGCACAACCTAGCATGAAATATTTCGAGGAACGATGCAATACTAAGCTAAATGAATAAGCGATGAGGGTTCAAATGTGTACATTTGGGCCCGAATCACTCCCCACACTTAGACGTTTGCTTGTCCCTCGCAAACCAAGTACAAAACAAGGTAATATTACAACTTCTTTTTCAACGCAATTTTTGGGGCATGTCATAGGGAACAAAGCGAATGAATCACAATGGTTATTTGACACCGACCTATGGCCAAAAACAAAGTAATCTGGGAAACCACCACAAACGACATTCAACTGTATTAAGATTGTGCAAAAGAAGAGTTCTCACATTATTCATCAACCAACACACAACATGCCTCGACGACTCACCAATCACAGTTACTCATGCATGAAGATCACATCATAGGAACGAAAGATCGAGCAACCTAGGTCCTCACTGTGGTATAAGAAAGAACAAAACATAATGAATGAATCACTCACTCTCAACCAGTGGGGTCAGGACCATTTGATGCAAAAGATGTTCATATTCACGCTCAATCCTAACGTCCCTATACAATGATGGTAACCTCCAAAATGTTAGATTTCATAAGATGGGTGTCGTTGCTAGCTTATCCGGTGGTCTTAGACACGGGTTCAAATGACTGGCTAGGGTCTCTGGCATGGGGAAAAGGCTTTTGGGGTGGTGGCACGTATTTCATGAGGTTTCACAACTTCAACCTAGAACCAAAGTATAAGGTTCCTTAGCTTCGATATAGAACCTTCCTCAACAAACAATGACCATTAACAACGACCAAAAACTACACTTCCCACACTTCCAAAACACAACCAATCACCAACCCATTCGCAACAATCTTTCTTTCTACATTGGCTATTCAATTTCAAGCACAAGAGTGTGGTAGGCAAACACTTCTAAGAGCATGTTCAACATTTATTATATTTTTGGTGGCCACTCTCTTTTCTTCTTTGCCCTCTTATTGATCTCTTTTTTTTTTCTTTTTGCTTTTCTTAATTTTTTTTTTGGGCTAAAGAGAGCTGAAAACATGCCAAATTTTTGAACTTAAGGAACAATGCTCACTTTTAAGAACTACCTCCATACTCACTTCACTGTTTAGCAGTACCATATACAAATCACTCGTGTGGAACCTCGTTTAAGCTCAAATGATATGAATGGAGCTTCCAAACACAAGGGTGACTCGATAATGGTGTAGACACGAAGAAAGTTGGGTCATCTATCTAAATCAATCAAGCTCAAGTAGCGTGAGCTACCTAATAACAAAAAAGTAACCTATATACCACTAGCCATGAACTTGGAGGTCCCAGGTTTGAGTCCCTTCAGTAGTACCTAATAACAAAAAAGTAACCTATATCACCCTTATCTAAAAAAAAGTAGCGTGCGCTACCTAACACTAGAACGATCCTTAGACACACAGCTCAAAAGGGTTGACTAAGGGATAATATGATCGGGCCGGTCAACTTTTGGGTGGTGGGCTAAACCTATGCATCCATCTTCCTCTCTAGCAACAACGTGAATGCTACACATCATGTAAAGGGGGAACTATCGCACTAGAATGAAAAGAACAGCAAAAGTCTCACATGGCTACCTAGGTGCTCAATTATTCGTTGTCACTCCCTTAACTCGATGCATAGGCAACTGTGAAATGAACCATGCATTGATTCGGACCTAATTGTACATATTTTGCCCCCGTTTTACTTCGGTGTTTGTGCCAATTTCACTCCTAAAGGTTGGTTTT